CACACACACACACACACACACACACACACACACACACACACTCTCCCATGTGGCAAACGCAGGACATGGGTTTTCTCCTGTTACTTTTAGCTCATAGCTTTCCATTTAAATGGCCTGGTTTTTACCCTTTCCTTCAATGATTTGCCTTTGGATCTAACCAATCTTCTTCCCCATGAGGAGTCATCTGAGTCATGTCTCTCCAAAGTGGCCCAAAGCACAGGAAAGCGCACATACATACCCGCCACGTCTGCACATTTTTTCTCTCTTTCATTTAAAATTAATTAAACCCCCAGGATGTTCAACTTGATGGCTTTAATACAGCTCATTGATTATCAACTGTTTCAATTTCTAAATGTATGTTACTTTATGATTCTAAATAACTTTTTTATCTTAAAGAAAATACAATTAAAAAAAGAAATATAATAAAAAACTTTTGGTAAGTAAAAATATATATTCGTATCTTTTTTCTACTTATTTTCTATTATATTATGCCACTTCATTAGTTCCATTTGAAAGAAAAATTTCAAACCTCAGAATTTGCTGAGTCAGCGTTTCTGCTCCTTCACCACCTTCTTACTGGTGTTTTACTGTTAACAGTCATATTTGCCTCTCTGCCACATTCTCAGAAAGACGTTCACTCACACACATCCTCTCTCAGCCTCCGCACGGCCGGCTTCCAGGGTTCCCCAAACACTGCTGCTGGAAGTCATCTTGTTTCCCCTGATCAAAGAAGGAAAATGCAACTCATCTCTTTCTTTCTCTCCCCCTTTACTTCTGGAAAACAATGACACAGTTAATTAGAGAGACCCAAACATAAGATAGTTTCCGCACTTAACGAGAATTATAAAAGACACATTTTTTTCCTTGAGATACATAGAACAAATGGATTTTCATGTGAGGAAAGTAAATGCACTGAAATATTTTAAGAAAAAAAATAATAAAATTGTAGCCTGGACCAGACATTATACAAGTCACAGATGGGATTATACAAGACACAGATATAGTCACACTTGTGACTATAACTAGGGGCTGTAACCTATGGGTTTTTAGCCCTTTCTAAAACACATGCTCACTCACTGTTCCAAAGTTTATTTTCTCGAACCACTCTTCTTGTTTCATATCTCACTCTTCTTGTTTCACATCTCATTATCCTGTTTATTATGACTGCCTTTGCTACAAAAGTCATGGCCCAAATTACCATGTTGTTTCCCCTTATCATGTCTATCATCAGAGAGCCATTCCATCAGTGAGTTGTCAAGTATTTATGAAGAGCCTACCATGTGCCAGGCACCGTTTTAGGAATTAGGTTCTACAGATTTGAACAGTACAGTTCAAAAGAGTCATACTAATAAACATATAACAACATCAGAGAGTGATAAAACTAAAAGCAAATGTATTGGTGCAAGAATAGAAAGCCAAGGGCTGAGCAACTACTTTAGAGAGTACCATAAGGATGCCTCTCTAAGCAGAAGACATGAGAAAGGGGATCTTAGTGAAGTTGGGGATGAAGACAGTCTAAAATCTGGAGCAGTGCTTTTTAGCCTGGGGCTGTGGAGAGTAGCTCAGCAACAGCAATGCCCCAAGGAAGGATTGAGTTTGGGTTGGTCAAGGATCAGGGAGGAGGTCCGTGTGGCTGGAGTCGGGTGGGGGGAAGGGTAGGAAAGGCGATTGGAAAGGGCTCATCAAGTCAGATCATTTGTATCCATTTAGTCAGTGGCAAAGAGTTAGGAATTTATTTATCATTTTTTCTTTGAAATTATATTTAAAAATATATTTGGACTTTATTCAGTTACTGGAAGACACTGGAAAGTATTCAGCAGGAGAATAACTTGAACTGACTTAGATATTTACTTGGTTTGATTGGCTGGGCTGTGGGGAATTGACTGTAGGGGTAGCAAGAGCTCGGTAAGACTCCTCTGGCACCCCTGTCTCTCCTTGTCACGCAGCCTTAGATGTTTCTCAGGTGTGGCTCCAACCCTCCATCTTAGCAGCTCACTCTTTGGCCATCTACAGTGGCAGCCCCCTGCCTTACCTCTCCCACCTGACTCAAACGCAGGACTCTGCCGTCCTTCTGCTACCTCAGTGGGGCCTTTCTTTGCTGGTGCCTGACACCTGGGGAGCAACCCACACCCCACAGCCAATTTGCACTTAAGGGAATACACTCTACAGCCCCATCACCAAGGCACTGGAATATTCCAGAATCTTGGCTTATTTCTTACATTTGACTATCCTTGTTTTACAATGGACCTAGAATTTCAAGCTCTCTACAGTTTAATCCACTCAAGTTCAATGAGCATGCATATCAATCAGTTTGGTACTGGTATTAACTTTAGAAAAGTTGTAAATAGTGTAAATGTTCTTTCTTAAATTTCCACATCGAACAATCTTCATGAGTTGCACAAACCCACTAGATAATGGAGGAGACATTAGTTCCTGAAAAGTCTTGGAACTTTACCTTAATCCAAAGCTTGAAAGGCAAGTGGAAATATTACAGAAACATTCCAGTTGATTTTGCACAGGTCAAGGAAAACCACGTTTCTTCAAACATCTGTAAACATCATGTGCCTTATTTATTTACAACGCCAGATACGCGCAGGCTTCTGGTGGTGGTGGAATGCAGCTGACCTCAGAAGAATTTCTGGCTGCTCAGTTACACTTTGAAGTTGTTAAAATTTTCCAGAGCAAATATCCCAAATTTCTGATAACATGAGGTATAGTATGTACAGAAAATGCACTGAGTTAAGAGTCAAACTCTTGGAAACAGGACGCTAGCCTTAGTCATAAAAACTACTCCTATTTTCCCTGCTGAATGAAATGAAATTGGTAGAGGTGGGGTCTGGAGGCTTTGAAAGCAGGACAAGTGTTCCTCGTGACTTTCCTTGTGAACAGGGGCCTCAGATCAGCCTGCAGTGGACAGCAGAGAGATTCACGTTACCCCAGTGTGATAAATAATGAAACACAATGCGTAATTGTCAACAAGTTCTTAGAACCCACTCAGGCCTGAGCTACCGTGCAGAATGCATTACCTCAGGCTCCACGGGGTCATGAGGGAGGTAACCAAGTGTTGGGACAAGTAAATAGACATATTGTACTGAGCTCCTGTCTTTACAACAACCCCTGAGAAAAACTGGAATTCCATGTTACTTAGCTGCTTTTCCAGCTCTGTTGGGAAAGATTAAATGGTGTTAGCAAAACAGCTAGCTTGAGCTTGCTAATTCAGCTTTTTTTAATCTTACGGTTGAACCATAATACACCTGGCTATAGAATTCACTTTTGGAAGTAACATTTTATCGTTTATTCTTACTTAAAATATTCCTGTAATATTAAAAATGCTAAATGACATGTTAATATTTACAAAAGAGAGGTAATGACACAGAAGGCCCAATTATGTTGCAGATATAAAATCAGCAGGGATTCTGGTACCACAGGATGGAAGTGGAACTCAGCGCTTCTAATAAAACAGGTGTCAAACTCTCCTACTTTAGGGACCAATGAGATGCTGCTTCAGGACACCAAGGACTACAGTAACTCTAAGGACATCCCAAATTGTAGAAGCATGAGTGAAGACTGTCTCCTGTTACTCCTATCTGTTATTCAATGTCAAGGGCAATCTGGGCCCTAAAATGAATTAATGTCATTTCCCCAAATGCCTAACTAACTTCTTTTCCAGAGCAGTTTACAGTTTTGCCCATGTATCTGTATACATCAGTTGACAGGGCACCAGCTTACGAGGCAGAAGATACGAGTATGGCCTTGACCTACCAATGGCCAGTTGACTATGTGACCAAAGCCCTCAGCTCATTGCCCTATTTATTTAATATAATTCTCTACCCCCCCTTACCCCCTCAACATGCATTTTTTATTTCCTTGGCAGCAATGAATAAAACTTACAATTATTGTTATTTCTTATTTATTTACTATCTCTACTATTATCAAATAAATTACATAAGGGCAGAAAACATGCCTGTCTTGTTCAACTTAGGGTTCCCCAGGACCAAGCATTTATCTGATACAAAATAAAAATATAGTAAATATCTGTTGAATGAATGAGGGCATGAGTCTTTTATGAAGTAAATGTATAATTAAAATGAGTCATTGTCACTATTTACTCCTCAAAGAGATCTACTAATTCCAGAGAGAATAGCATGACTTTAAATGACATAACATTGGTTTCAGTATAGTGTAATACCACCTGGAAAGCTAACTTTTATCTGAGTTCACACAACTTCTCATGAATTGAGGAAATAAATTTGAACTCTCCACAACACAGTATCTTTTTGTCTCATATTTATAAGAAAATGTATCTGCATTCCTTTCTTATTAGAAATAAGACATTAAATTTTATTTCAATACCTCTTTGAAAAAGAAAGACAATAAAAACAATGACATTGAAATAGAGAACAGGGGGACAGTGACCAGAGGAGAGAGGGAAGGGAATTTCAGGGGAAAAAGGGGAAGGATTTACAGGAACTAGTATAAAGGACACATGGACAAGAACTAAGGGGGGTGGTAATGGGAGGGAGGTGGGTGGCACGGGGGCGTGGGCTGGGATGGGAGTAAAAGACAGAATACTGCAGTTGAAAAATAATTAAGTAAAAATAAATAAATAAATAAAAATACTAGCTGAAATATTTAAGCCACAGTTGTTAGTGCCTGGACTATTTCGAGAATTTCCTAAGAGTCTTAAATAATAAGACATGTCATCCAAAAAAATATTTTCAGTCCCTTTGGGAATTCACACTGTTTAGGGTTACATAATACTACTTCCATACATATGTAGCTTACTGCTAATAAACTGCACAAATGTCACCAGTTCAGCTAGACATTCTCAGAAGCAAACATAAATATAGAGATAGAAAAATAATTCTTTTGCCCAAACAACCCCAGCCAGATCCCATGCTTATCTGTGTTGAAAGACCAATTGCGTAAAAGAAGTTCCAACTTTTATTTTTAGGAGACTATGAGAAAAGCATCCAAAAGGACATCCAGGGGACATTTCTCGCATGTATTTATTTAAAATTGGCATTTCATTGCTTAAGCGTTCAGTTGTTTTGTGTAGTCTGGATAATATCATTCTGAGAGATGCCTATGAGAATTAGTTATAGTTTGTCATTAAAATCTAGTTCAGATCAATTCCATTTCATTCAGCAGACACATTGGTTGAGAGCTTCATAGGTGCTAAGCACTGCTTTGGACTCAGGGGAAGCACAAAGAAGCTTGCACTGTATTGGGAGAAAAAACACACACTTGATGTCATGACAGGAGTTTGTGCAACGTTGGAAGAAGGACAAAATGGTTTTGGAGGGCACAGGGAAAGGTCACCACCTCAACGCCACCCACCTGAGCAAGCAGGTTGAAAAACAAGTCCAGGGGCAAAGAGCCCCATCCTGCAGTCCTGAGGGCAGATCCTTATGGAGCCCTAGCTAGTCATTATAATCAGCAATCCCATTGTTTTCTCTTCATTTTAGGAAGCCAGTTTCAGTATTTAGATCTTCACATTTTCCCTTCTTGGGTTTTCCTTCCCTGTGTAGTCACGATATTTCCAACACATGCCAACAAATAACTTGACTATTCCCTTAAAGCTCCCACTTTTCACAAAAGGACCTGAAAGAACAGAACATATGTAGGAAAAAGAATTTTAATTTACCTTTGTTCTTCTTGTTGTTATTAGGTTGCTGTAAACTTCAGGGCAAATAAGTTCTGGACAATAACAGAAGTACATTACAAAGCCTCCATTCAGTTAGCCCTCTGGTCATTCAAATCTCCATCCTCCCCCCTCATGTGACTATTTTCTTCACCTGCTCTAAGCTTTGATCATTCTGTCTATTCCAAACCTACAATGTTTTGGTTATTTCTTAAGCTCCTAGAGAACAAATTAATGTAAATGAAACATAAAAAGAGCCTTTTTAACTAAATTTTCACACTTATCTCTAATGCTTACCTTTCATAAAAACTATGATCAAGATATTCCTGACTCTTGGTGTTTTGCACAGCTACAGCTACCAGTAGTAACAGCAAGAAGACTGAGAAGAGTAGCCAGTGATTCGGGGTTGTGAAGTACTGGGAGGACTGTTTTAAAAAGAAGATATACAAATCTTTTTGTGTCTGTGGACGAGTGCATTTTTCAGAGGAGAGATGCATTGCTCTCATCCTGAGTCAGGGATGTCTAAGGCAGAGGGAAAAAGGTTAAGAATCATTTGATCAGAAATAACAGTGATACATAAATAAGGGCACTTAAGCAGGTGAATTGTCATAAAGCTAGTCCATCTCTCATTAAATTCTCCTTCCAGTTTCAATTCTTATTTATTTTTCTCTCTCTGATTTTAGCCCTTTGTCCTCTACCATTCATGAGAACCAGTCCAGAAACCAAATGAAGTTAAGAAATCACCAGGCATGAGGGGTATTGCCAAATCTCTGTGACTTACAAGTAGTGATGGAGGACGACAGGAGCAAGCTGAGTATAGGAGGGGCTGTATTATCCATGCTCATCGTCTCCCTCAGTAGCCCAATAATTAGGGAGTCCTGTGGAGGATAATGCACTCTGGCCTCCTCACCTCCACATTCCCCTCCTCTCCCAAACAATGCTTTGCCAGCACAGAGACTGCGCCATCTTGTAAATCCACATCCGACACCACACCCCACTCAAAGTGCTCAGATCAGATGGGACATGGGAGTAAAAAGTCAGTGGTGTTTTGGAAAACACACTAGGACACAAACTTTTCCATTTCCATGAAGTTCTTCCTTCACAGCACTCACCTGAGGATGACTCACTGCTCAAAACTCCTGTAGAGCGTCTTCAGATCTGGTTTAGCTTCCTCAGTATGAAGCAGAGGTTCACGATGTTGCCTGCCGTTTGCAAGAACCTGGGGAAAATTAAAAAGTACTGATACCAATATTTCAACATGAAGAGTCTGATTCAATTTGGCTAAAGCAATGGCTCTTACTCTGGGCCATGCATCAGAATCACCTGCAGGTATTTGTAAAGATACAAATACCTGTTCTCTAACTCTAGACAACTAAATATGAATCTCTGGAGGGGAGATCTATACAACTGAATTTCAAAACCTTTTCACGCGAGTCAAATATATAACAAGGGGTTCAGATTCACTACTCGGCTTTCACATTTCATCATTGGTCCAAAATATTAATAGCCTGCTTTATTCAATAAGAGGACTTCTGCATGGATCTTAGCCTTTTCCAAAAACTGAATCTGCCCCTTAGAATTTTTTAAAAATGTGTCACAAACCCTAGCAATACAGTGAAAACCAAAAGGTGACCTTACCGTGAATCCATTTACAATCCTTTTGATTTCCTTTGAGGGCCAATACTCCAGGTATTCTAAGTAGATAATCCTGGAAAACAGGCATCCTATTCATGGACACTGCCAAAATATATGGTTTCTTCCACGTGAAAGAAAGAGTGGAAGTTCATCCACTAACCAGTTCATCCCGAATTCCTGACTAGCAAATAAAAATAAGAGCTAGTAATTATTGAATGATTATAATGTGCATAAGTTTCTCTGAGAACTTTATGTGCATAGCTTTATTTTCACAACTTTTTCCTGGAATAGTGTTATTATTTCCCAATTACAGACTGAGAAAACAAGGCTCAGAGAACTGAAATGATAGTTCTGCTTATCAGTTTCATAGAACTTTGATGCCAAAGGAACATGACAAATTACTGCATGGCACTGAGTATCAAGGCAAAACCAATTTGTGATCTTTATGATCATAAATTACCTTCATAATTACGATCTTTATGGCTATCAGTGCCAAGACTTTACTGTTTGCATTCTAGTGAGTATGTTAAAACACCAGTCTGTGAACTATTTCTTGTATCATGTCAATCCTTTGCCTTTCAAACCTCAAAGTCTATGGTAAGAACATTTCTTCTCAAAGTACATTTTCTTGATTCTTTCAGTGGGGCTGCTTAAGCTGAAGTTCAAAGAAAACAGACAGTGACTCAAAATTTCTACAGAATAGTACATTCATGGTTGAAGAAAAAACACACACTCTGTAGTAACAAAATTCATTGTTCAATGATTTCTCAATATTGTATTATTATAGTTGAATATATGTTGATTGATAAAAGTTTCACTCAAATCACAAAGACACTGTTAATAGGCAGAATAATGTACCCCACAAAGATGCCCATGCCTCATCCCTGGTACCAATGCATATGTAACCTTACATGGCAAAAGAGAAGGACCTTCAGGTGGCAAATTATCCTGAATTATCTGAGTGGACTAAACCTATTCACATGAGTCATCAAAGAAAAGAGAAGAAGGGGTCAGACAGGTGTGGCTTGAAAAAGAGTCTACTCGCTTTTATTGATTTTAAAGATCAAGGAAGAGGAACATGAGCTAGTTAAGGTAAGAAAGTAATGTTCTCTTACAGCCTCCAGAAGAAAACTCAGTTCTGCTGACACCAGTTAGACCTGTTTTTGACTTGTGATTTAGTGTACATTAATAAATTTGTGCCAATTTAAGCCACTAAATTTGTGGTAATTTAGTATGACAGCAATAAAACTCTAATAGATACAGCCCATTAAATCACCTTTAATTGTGGAAGAAGTATCACCATGCCTTCAACTCTAAGTGGACAAAATGTATCATTTTTCAAGAGTAAATATATCTCTGTCATTGCTTATGATTTTTTAAAATTATATGCTACTCTTTATATTTACTTAATAGTATCACCAATAGTAATGTTGATGGTTATATTGTAATCTGTTTAAATTCAGTCACTATTTGAATTTCAACTGTTAATTAAATAAATGTTTACCAGGGGTCTGCCCTTGCATTTCAGTAGATATTAAATAAAGATTTCTTACCTTTAATTAAATATTCTAGCTATGACTGTTGCATGTTTATTACCATATTTTTCAGACTATAAGATGCAATTTTCCCCCTAGTCTGAATGTAGCTTACTTGGATTGCTGTGGATGGGGAGTGGCAGTGGAATGGGGTCACAGGTTATTAAATACGTTACCATTTTTTGCTGTGAACTTTTTTCCTATTTTCCTCCTCTAAAACTTAGGTGCCTCTTATGGTCCAGTGCATCTTATAGTCCTAAAAATACAGTAGTTTATTCATCTTAAATCCTTATTTAAAATAAGCATATACGTTATAAGTAAAATAAACTTATTTTATACCATTGATAAATTTTGAAATATAATAAAAATGCAACAAGATTTTGAAGTAAACGTTTAATAAAATGTACTATGACCACTGTTAAATATTAGTATGGCAAATGATATCTAAAAAATAAGGTGAAATAGGCAGAATTGTGGATAGGGGCAGGGTCAGCTGTGCATTGATATTGGGTGACGGGTGCCTGGAGGCTTGTTATAACCTACCTGCTTTTGTGTGAGTATGAAATTCTCCATGATAAGAAGTTTGTTTTAAAAAGACTGCACATTAGACTTCAGGCCAAGATGGAGGCACAGGTAGGTACACTGCACCTCCTTACATAACCAAAAGAAGGACAACAACAAATTTACTTTGTTTTTGTTTTGTTTTTAAATTTTAGTTTATTTTTAATATAGTTTATTGATTATGCTATTACAGTTGTTCTATTCCCCCTCTTCATTCCCCTCCACCCTGCACATCCCCTCCCCACCATTACCCCCCCTTTAGTTTATGACCACATGTCTCAAGTTCTTTAGCTTCTACATTTCCCATACTATTCTTGCTCTCCCCCCTGTCTATTTTCTACCTACCATTTATGCTACTTATTCTCTATCCCTTTTCCCCATCTCTCCTCTTCCCACTCCCCTGTTGCTGTCCTTCCATGTGATCCCCATTTTTGTGGTTCTGTTCCTGTTCTAGTTGTTTGCTTAGTCGGAAAACAAAAAACAACCAGAACTGCTAGAAAATCAAATTGTATGGAAGTCTGACAACCAAGGAATTAAAGAAGAAACATTCATACAGACCTGTAGGAAGGGTGGAGAAGGGCAGCCTTCAGAGAGGACTCGAGGCAAGGCAGCAGCTGGAGGAGTCCCACATTTGCTGTGCATATACCAGGAGAAACAACTGGGGAGCAAGACAGACCACATAACCCAGGGTTCCAGTGTGGGGAAAGAAAGCCTCAAAATCCTCAACTGAAAAAACCTGTGGGTGTTGTGGCAGCAGGAGAAACTCCCAACCTCACAAGAGAATTCATTTGAGAAACCCACAGGGTCATAAAGCATACACAAAACCACCTGTTGGGAACCGCTCTGCCTGGTTTCAGGAGTTGTAACTGCCCCCCATGGATAAGGCTGAGTGAGCCACCTCCAGACTGTGAGCCACTAAGGAGGCAAAGCTTATCTCTGGCAGCAGCACTGTTTCTGCTTCATCCCCTGCCCCCAATGCTCGGTTGGTTAGTCAGAGATGGATATGACCCCTCAGAGGAGGGGCAACCTAAGCCAGATGTGATCACTTGGGAGGCCCTCAAGAAAGGGCTCAGGGGGCTGCAGCAAAGAGGGAGTGATGGACCCTCGACCCCTGGCTATTCTGACATAGCCTGAGTCCCCATTTCCATCTGAGAGAAGTATTTCCTGGCTCTAATCCACTTAAGCTGAAAAACCTATGACTGGGAAGGCAGTGCAGCCCTTTGCCAGCTAGAGCGGGTTCTGGGTGATCAGGCCTAAGAAAGAATATCTAAAATCCTGTGAAACCTTTGTTTAGAATGCTCTCATTTAAATAATAAGGGTCTAAGCAAGAAGTGTGTTCCTCAAAGTTTTATGGCTCTTTAGCTATCTGACCCTGACTGAGAATAAGCCCTCATAGTTCTTTGAATGCTATCTATTGTTTGATCCTTACCTATATTCTTGTGCAAAATGAACCCAATAAAAGCCCATTGAGGAGAAGGCTCTTGGTCCTTCTCCTGTGAGAGATTGACCACCTCTCCTCCTCAAGCAGATCATGTCTTGGTAGTTTCATTTTCATCCGTGGTGGACGGGGGCGACTTGCTGGCAAAGTTGCCCCCACAACCACCCACCTGGGAATCAGCACCAGAAGGACCCATTTTGCTTGTGGGTAGTGGAGGAGGTGACTGAAAGCCTGCTGAGTGTTGAGCAAGCAGAATTGTTCCCTCTCAGACCCCTCCCCCACATACAGCACCACAATGCAGTGACCTCGGTTCCTCCACCCTGGTGATTACCTAATGCTCCTCCCCTTATTAACAGGCACACTAAGACAAAAAATATGGCCCAAATGAAAGAACAAATTAAAACTCCAGAAAAAAAATACAACTAAGCAATGAAGAGATAGCCAACCTATCAGATGCACAGTTCAAAACACTGGTAATTAGGATGCTTACAAAACTGGTTGAGTATGGTAACAAAATAAAGGAAAAAGTGAAGGCTATAAAAAGTAAAATAAAGGAAAATGCACAGGGTACCAACAGTGATGGGAAGGGAACTGGAACTCAAATCAATGGTTTGGACTAGAAGGAAGAAATCAACATTCAACCAGAACAGAAGAATTCAAAAAAATGAGGAGAGGCTTAGGAACCTCCAGGACAACTTTAAACATTCCAACATCCAAATCATAGGGGTGCCAGAAGGAGAAGAGGAAGAGCAAAAAGTTGAAAACTTATTTGAAAAATAATGAAGGAGAACTAGCAAATAGAATTTGCTAGTTCCTTCTCCAATATGGCAATGGAAATAGACTTTCAGTAAGTCCAGGAAGCTCAGGCACTCCCAAAGAAGTTGGACGCAAGGAAGCACATACTAAGGCACCTCATAATCACATTACCCAAAATTAAAGATAAGAAGAGAATCTTAAAAGCAGCAAGAGAAAAGGAGACAGTAACCTACAAAGGAGTTCCTATAAGACTATCAGCTGATTTCTGAAATGACACCTTACAGAGAAGAAGGG